CCTTTACTTGGATTAAGTCTCTCCTGATGCCTGTTTTGAACTCAGCCTCATACTGTGGGAAAGATGCACACCAGGCCCTGTGCCAGGCACATGTTAAATAAATGAATAAAATGGAGGAAACAGTAATCCTAGTCAGAAGTGTCTACGTGTAGATAAAGGAACAGGCTTTGCAGTCAAATAGAACTGAATTCACATCTCAGCTCTGCTCCTTAGCAGTGACTTTGGACAACTCATTTAATCGATCTCAGCGTCTGTTCTCTCTTCTGTTAAGACAAGGATACCTACTAGAATCACTGTGTGATGGAATGAGCCAATGTGTTAGCGCAGTGCTAGCAAGTAGCAAGTGTTCCTTCGTGGTAGCTGGTAGGGTCATGGTAGGACAGGGGATCAGACAGGAACAGGCAGGCCCACTCCCACCCAGCTTTTACCACAGGAGGAGTGAGTTCGGATGACAGTCCCCACTTGGAGAAGTTCAGATCTTGTCTAGCTAAGGTGGAGGCATAGCATGGCTATTTACACATAAAAGCACCTCAACAGAAGCACAAAATTCTGTAGGACTCAAAGGAGGGAAAAATTGTGTGTATGCAACCCAGTGTACTCAAGGCGACCCTCTGGGATTTTCCATTTATATCCAATTAAAACAGCTCAGTCTCTCCTCCGGAAGCCCATGCCCTCCTCTGTTTTCACTAAGAGTCTCCAAGGGTTCACATCCTCATGATCACCTGTCAATCTGAATTCTTGCTCTTGCTAAATTGTTGATCACTGAGTTGTTCACTTTCTATGTCTGTCATCCTCTACTGATGCCACAGATATTGTTAACTTTCTCCCTTTGTTCCTAAAACACCACAGAGATAAGGTTGTATGTATAGGACACTTAATGTTTGGGGGTGCTGACTAGGGAAGCGAAGCAGCCATAGAATAGAGAATAAACTTAAAACTAAGGACTAGGCATCACTGTTCTGAAACTTTCCTCTAGGAGTCCTTCTACTGGAATTTCTCACTGGTGAAGCTTTCCTCTCTGCAGCTTGCTTTCACTTACTAGCTCTCCAGCTTTTGCTCTGGAGTTACCACGGTATATTCCAAAATTCCCATCGGTTTCATACTCAGCAGATTTAGCTAACTCCTTCCTATGAAGGCCATGTCCAAAGCCCCACCACATTGTTTATAATCACAAAAGAGCTTTAAGGCCTCTGAAAGGAATGTGCAATTGCATTTCTCCTTTTTAACGAGACTTTTTCCCCCATTACATATAGTTGGGGGATAAGAAAAAACTCCCAAGCAGTAGTGACTTGGAGACAAGTCTTGATCATAAAGAAAGTCCAACAGGCTGAGAAGTTGGAGGGTTCTGTGCCTGGGTAAGCAAGTAAACAAAGGTCCTGGTGGATGAAAGGGAATTGAGTTTAGGAAACTGCAAAAGGAGTATCATGAGGGAGAGATTCCAGGAATGGGAAGATGAAAGCTGTAAGGGCCTTGTGTTAGCACTGAGAAATGAGTCTTTGTCCAAAGGACCATGTGAATCATGAAAAGATTTTAAGCATGAAAAGAATAAAAGCAACTTTGAGCTTCAGAAAAAGCACTAAGGAGATACCATTTGTCAACTATTGCAATGGTAAATTTAGAATGATGTGCTTTTAAGTGAAAATATAGTGCCATAACAGGCTGCTAGAAATGTAAATGGAAGAATCATTTTGGAGAGAAGTTTGGCAATGTTGAGAAAGAGATGAAGAGATAGAGAATCCAAGTGCCTACAGCTAGCTACCCCTGACTTTTCTGCCTGGATAAAAATGGCAGGTGTTGGAAATAGGAAAAATGGGGAGACAAAAGGCAAGAGCGTGGGTATGGGCTCATGAGAGCCTGTCCTCTTCCTGATTCACTATTTAATGACATCATATTAGTAGCTTGCCATTGGCCATGGTGGAGTCTATACACCATAAAAAGCAGCAAATGCTGCAAAACAGGGCTCCCTTCTGCCCCCAGAGAGCAGCTCAACAGCACACTACCACTATGAGCCAATTCTCAACCAGCAACCCCTTGAGTTCTCTGAGCAACAGCTGCACAGAGATCAAATACAGGCTTTTTGTAAGCTAAGGTTTTGGGCTTATATCCCAACAGAAAAGCCAAGGTTGATGTAGGCTGAATGTTCAGGAGCCCACTGGACTCTAGCCAAACGTAGGCAAGCAGGAGTACTCTCCTTTCCCTGAGGCCTATTCCAATTCCTGCCTGATACTCTAAAGAAGCAAAAGATGGAGAAGACACCTCTTGCAAGCTGTGTGAAAGCAGAGAAAACAGCAAAAATGACAAGTACAGTAGCTGGACCTTCCTCCACACAGAACCAGAAAGCTCAAGTCTCTGACAGTCATAAACAAGCCTTCTGTCTCGTGGGCTCTGCATCCTTAACCACCATTAATACTGCTTCTCTGTGGAAGTCACAAGACTTGGTAAGACTTGGATGTACTCCTACAGAGTAGAGGAAGAATGAAGACTTGAGGATAACTTTCAGGTTCCAGGCTTAAATGCCCAGGTAACCTAGGGCGAGATGCCAAACATTGGCAGAGAAGATCCAGTGGGGTGTACGGGAATTAGTGATAGTTGTATTTGGGTCTTGGTGAGTTTAGGTGAAGTGCGTATGGAATGACATATAGACACATCCAATAAGTAACTGAGAATTTGAAGTTTCAAGAAAGTTACTGGTATATAGATGGAACTGAAGCCATAAAATCACTCAGGGAATATACAATTTAAAAGGCAAAGCAAGGACACCTTGGGAACAACATTTAAGAGAAAGAGCAAAGAAAGAAACTGGGAGGGAGCATTCCAGAAGGAAGGAAGAAACCAGGTGAATGTGATACATTATAGAATGCAATAGAGGAGAAATATGAAGTGTTACAGAAAAGCCTAGGTAGACCAGATGTTCAGTGCAGGTAAGGATTAAGATGAACCACACGATGAGGTAATTGTGGCTGATGGAGAGTGAAGAAAACAATGGTAGAAGATGAGATTTAAGTAGGCAGGGGCCAGGGCAGGCAGGACCTGGTATGCCATTAGGAGGTGCTAGGATTTTATTCTGAGTGCAGTAAGTAATCATTAGAGGATTTTAAGCAGGTAATGAAGAAGTGTGATTTGCATTTTAAATATCTCCGTCTATCACATGGAGAATGGACTGAGGGGCTAAGAGTGGAAGCAATTAGGAAGCTATGCAGTTACCCAGACTAGGATGGTAGAAGTGGAGATGGTAAAGAGTGTTCAGACTCAGTACATTTTGAAAGAATATCTGGCAGGAATTGCTGGTGAACTGAATGTAGGGGAAGAGAAAGATAGGGATCAATGACTACTGGGGTTTGGGGTTGATCACTGAGTAGATGGTGTTGCCACTTATAGAGATAGGTAAATCTAGAGAAAAAAATCCAGGTTTAAGGGTGGGAACCAGAATCAAGAGTTTCATTTTGGCCATCTTAAGTATAAGAGGCACATTACACCTGCAAGTGAGGATGCCAAGTAGGGAGTCAGCAATCCAAATCTGGAGCCCAGGGGAAGTCACAGCCAAAGATGTTAATTCTGAAGTTACCAGCATATACATTAGCAACAAAGCCATGGGACTGTGTGAACATTAGCTCTGTGTTTCCCATTTCACTTGTCCTGACAGCAGTGGGGTGACCCTTGATTGGAGGCTGGAGGAGGCATCCAAAGTCATCTTCATTGCACAGAGGGAGCTGGTCCTTACAACCTGAGAGTTGGACAGGAATCAGGACAAACCTGGCCTTGGGAACTGAGTGCAGAGAAACGGTGCCAGAGAAATCAAGTCCTCACAGATTTCTCTCTGTAAGTAACATTAATTCGGGAGGAAGATAGAAAGGTGATATTTTAGGGACACTTAGTCTGTAGCCAGCAATGAGAGCCCCACTGAGGCTGGAGGAGCTAAATGTGGGAGTTAATGTGGCCTGCACTCCTCATTACACCCTGTAAGAGTCAAAGTTCCTGAGAGGTGGCATCAAAGCCACCCACAGGTAATAGCACTTCCAGGAGGAGACCTGGGCTTCAGACAGGTCTCCGTCTCTTCTGCTACTAATATGAAGATAAGCACAAGCTGACCACCTAGGCCTGATTCTGAGCCAACCAAATGAAAGTACTGAACACCAGTGCTTCTCCAACTCTAATGTAGATTTGAATTATATGGAGATTTTGATAAAGTGCACATTCTGTTTTAGTAGGTCTAGGACAGGGTCTGAGAGTCTGCATTTTGAAATGCAGCTCCCAGGCCATGCTGTTGCTGAAGGTTTGTGGACCACATTTTGAGTAGCAAATGACTGGAGGCAGCTGTGTAGGCTACCCACAATGGAGGGACATGCCCTGTCCCAGGGAAAATGTGTTTATTTGTGCACAGATGCAGGACCTGTTGAAGTAGAAACAGCCACCACTGCATCATGGTTGTGAGGCAGACAGCCATTTCTTGGCTGAGTACACTGGCCAGTAGCATGGCATGGTTGTTAAGCACTTAGGTTCTGAAGCTTGACCTCTGAGCTTTACCTCTTAGTAGGTATGGGACCTTGGGAAAATCTTTAACTTCTCTGCATCTCAGTTTCCTTGTTTCTATAATGGAAATAATAAGACTGTTGTGAGGATTAGTGGAAGTAATAAAGTGCTCAACACATGGCAGCATAGTAAATGCTCAGTAAATGTTGCCATTGTTGATGATACACCCTTCTACAAGTAACAATAGTTAAGGCAGACATGCACAGAGGCCAAGTCTCCTTCTGGCACACAGGCAAAAATGCAAGTCCCATCTCCCTCCCTCTTTAAAATTCCTCCCACCCTGCTGCCCACTCCCCCTCCCCTGGCCCCTGGCCCCAGTGTGGTCTGGATGGGCCCCACGGGGGCAGGGACAGGGACAGGACGTGGGGCTGTATCTGACAGGAACCCAAGGGGCTGGCCCGGGAGGGGATTGGGGCCTGGCTTCCTGAAGGGAGGATGGGCCAAGGCAGGCACACACAGTGCCGGAGAAGATGCCCTCCTGGGCCTTCTTGGTGGTCACCTCCTGCCTCCTCCTGGCCTCCCAAAACCTGGCACAAGTCACCAGCCAAGGTGAGGTGTGTGGAGGGTGGAGATCATGTACAACCAGGAAGAGGGAGCCCTGGGAGGGGTGCAAGGTAGGAGGTGCCCACTGGGACCCCACTCTTGCCCACAAACACTCTGGCCTGGGATGACCCAGAGCCCACTCCACGAGCTGTTCCTCAGATGCCTCCTTGCTGGCCTCGGACTCAGAGCCCCTGAGCTGTTTCTCTCGAACATTTGAGGACCTTACTTGCTTCTGGGATGAGGAAGAGGCAGCACCCAATGGAACATACCAGCTGCTATATGCCTACCCAGGGTATGTGCTAGGCTGCGCCCACCTCCCCTGTATCTGTCCTGTATTTACCTCCACTGAGCCCCACTCCAGTAGATTCCCTGTTTTTGGCCCTATGGGAAAACAACTCCAAGTACATGACCCAAGTAGTCACTTAATGAACAAATGTGCTTTGGATACACCCAGCTCAAACTCCTAGAGCACCCCTAATACCACCCATCCCAGGCACTGAGAAGAAGAATGGCAGTAATGGAAATAGAAGTTGGGCTTGGCCCAGACCTCGGTCTTCAGGTATGCACATGGTGGCCATGTAGGTAGGATGGACTTCTGTGCCTACAGGGAGAAGCCCCGTGCCTGCCCCCTGAGTTCCCAGAACATGCTTCCCTTTGGAACCCGATACATGTGCCAGTTTCCAGCCCAGGATGAAGTTCGCCTCTTCTTTTCCCTGCACCTCTGGGTGAAGAATGTGTTGCTGAACCAGACTCTGACCCAGCGGGTGCTCTTTGTGGATAGTGTGGGTAAGGGACATCCTCCTGTCACCCTGGCTCCTCTAGTTGCTGTCCTCAGGCCAGCTGCTAGAAGCAGACTGGTCTGTGTTCTTTCAGGATGATATGGATACCCTCCACTACCAGCCCCCCAGAAGCACTTCAAGACCCCTTATCATTCCTCCCAGCCTCAGCATCCAGAGCTAGATTTCATTTCCTACCAGAGACAACCTAGTCCTCCCATCATTAACCTATTCATTTAGTCAACAGATACAGAGCACCTACTATGTGCCAGGCACTGTGCTAGGTGACAAAGATAAAGAGATCCCTGCTTTTGAGGGGCACAGAATCTAATAAACCTGCAATGAGGTCACTATTCTCATTGGGAAGGGAGAACAGGGTATGGAGCCTTCCTTGCCTGGCTCCCTAAGAAACCCATGGCTGTGATATTTTAGAACCAGGCGCTGCCCCCAATCTAGCCTCCAGCACCCTTCTCTACAGTTCATGGGTTGAACCGCAGAATGTGGTGGCAAAAGAGAGTTCTGATGTGCTCTATCTTGCCCCCAGGCCTGCCAGCTCCCCCCAGTAATATCAAGGCCATGGGTGGGAGCCAGCCAGGAGAACTTCAGATCAGCTGGGAGGCCCCAGCTCCTGCAATCGGTGATTTCCTGAGACACGAACTCCGTTATGGTCCTGAGGATTCCAGGAACACCACTGGTCCCATAGTCCTGCAGCTCCTGTCCTCAGAAACCTGCTGCCCAGCTCTATGGAGGCCCAATCCAGCCCCAGCTCTGGACCAGCTTCCATGTGTTCAACCCATGATGCCCCAACAGGATGGACCAGAGCAGACCTCCCCAACTAGAGAAGTATCCTGTCCTTCTTCTGCTCCACCTATGTCCTACCCCCAATTTTGCCCCAAGAAAGTAAAGGCCATACTTTGGGGATTCCAGTTGAGTTTGATTCTTGGGAAATGAGTATAGGCTCTGATTAGCCCTCAGGAGCCATGTGAATTCACACCAACAAAATTGACAGCTTCAGGCCTCCCAGTTAATGGGGATTTCCCTAAAAGGCCCGAACTACCTGAAACCCACTGACCTGGTCCCTAATCTGTACATGTATCTAGGCAGTGAGGAAATGGAGCATCTCTTCACAAGCCTGCTGTGGGGCTTCAAAATAAGAGATGGAGGCTGTCTGGACTGAGAGGCAGACCTAGATTCTGAGGCTGGGATTCTTCTCCCAAGGCTCCATCTCCAGCAGTGATGGGTGGAAGTTGCCTCATCTCAGGGCTCCAGCCTGGCACCTCCTACTGGCTCCAGCTGCGCAGCCAACCTGATGGGATCTCTCTCCATGGCTCCTGGGGATCCTGGTCACTCCCTGTGACTGTGGACCTGCCTGGGGATGCAGGTGAGTCAATGAAGAAATGGGCAGATGGGGAGGAGATAGAAAAGATCTCTAGGGAGGCCTGGGCTGGATATGGAAGCTCTAGGAAGCATGGTCCCTCCTGACGACCTCAAACTTGCCACTGGACAGAGCGAACTGTGTTCAGGGAGAGGACAAAGAATAGGGGTAAGTGTTCCAAGATGTAAAGATGTGTGTAAAGACAATCTGGATACTCTATAGACTAGAAGCACATTGGCCCTGATGAGACTTCCTTCTCTGACCTCAGTGGAAATTGGACTGCAGTGCTTTACCTTGAACCTGAAGAACATTACCTGTCAGTGGAAGCAACAGGACCACATTAGCTCCCAAGGTTTCTTCTACCACAGCAGGGCACGATGCTGCCCCACAGACAGGTGAGAGTTGAGCTGCTGATTGACCCTGATATCATGGGAGAGAGGCACATGCAGAAGGAAGGAAGAGTCTGTTCTTTGTCCTCTTCACTCCACTCCCTTGTCTCAAAACCAAATGGCCTCCATGCTCTCATCTTCCAATGGGTTTCTTATCTTCTCAACCTCTTTCCATCCCCATCCAGAATGCCTTGGTTTAGTTCGGCTTTAATCACGTCACCCAGACCATTGAAACAGCCTACATTCTTATTCACCTCCAGTTTATCCCCATGCTGCTGACAGAGTGACCTTTGTTAAACTCAGACTTTGCATGGCCTTCCCCTACTCAAATATGTACTACAGCTTTCTACTGTCTATCATATCCTTTGCCTGGTCTTCAAGAATTTCTACCAAACACCTCACTGATCTGTCACCCCCTCTATATCCAATCCATAACCAAGTCTTGTTGATGTCACCATTAGCTATCTCTAGAATTTTCCCACTTTTGTTCATTGCTGCTGTTGCCCAAGGACAAGCCAGCACCATCTCTCATCCACTCATTCTCTATAGCCACCCATTATTGGGCTACTGAGATCACTTACTGAATCCTCCAAATCATTCTCCACATAGGAGCTGGAGTGATCTTTAAAAAAATGCAAAAATGAACCTAATTTCCCTGCTTAAAAATCTTTAATAGCTTCCTGTTGATCTTAGAATAAAGAAAAAAACTCAATTGTGGCCTTATAAAGTTCTGAGACTCAGACCCTACCTATGTCTTCAGCTTCATCGTACACTATGCTACCTTTTGCTCTCTATACTCCAGTACTGGCCTTCTTCAGTTCCTTCCTATCTGCCATATTCCCCACTGTCACTGGGTCTTTGCATATGCTATTTACCCAACCCTCCTGTCTTTTCTTAACTTCTGTTTATCCTTCGGCTCTCAACTCAAACGTCACCTCCTCAGGGAGCCCTCCCCTGACCGTCCTCATTAGGTCCAATAGCACTATTATACATTCTTCTTGTACCATGTACTTCTCCTTCTTAAGTAATTATCATATTTACAATTTTACGTATATGCTTTATGTAGTTATTTGATTGATAATAAAATTCTCTCAGAAGTCCAGGTGAGAAAGGCTGATCTTGCCTATACATGATCCATGAGGGTAAAGCCACTCTGTTTTTACTCACCAATGTATTCTCACCAACCACAGGGCCTGGAAGATGGTAGATGCACAGTTAAAAAACTGTTGAATGAATGGATAATGAAAGCACCACTATTAACAGTTTTAATGTATTCTTCCAGTTTTTCTATGCACTTACATGTGTCTATACACAATATTTTCAATTTAAATTGGATCACATTATATATACGGATTTTTTGCTTAAAAATATGTCTTGGAGAGCATTACAAAATGATGTAATTCATTCTTTTTAATAACTGCACAGATTTCCATGGTGTCGAGGTGCCATGAATAGATTAAAAGGGGCCAAAACTGAAGTCATCATTTCCTTTACCAAAACCTGCTCCTCCTTTTACCAAAACTTCCTCCATCCTACCATCAACTCAGTTTTCCAGGCCTCTAACATGGAAATTACCTGGACGTTTGCCATGTCTCTACCCTCCAGGTCCATTCAGAAACAGTCTTGTCATTTCTATCCCTTCAGTATCTCTTGAATCCATCTATTTCCCTTCATCCCCCGCCACAACCCTATTTTCAGATCCTCATCACTTTTCGCATGGAAAAGCATAACACTGTCCTGATGGATTTCTCTGCTTGTAGTCTACTTTCACAAACCTTTTCCTACAAACTGCAGTTAGAGTGATCTTCTAAAGAGCAAAGCTAATTTTGACCATTCCATTTAAAATCCTTAAAATGTCATCATATTTACTACAAAATTAAGTTCAAGCTCCTTAGAAAGGCCACAAGGCCACTTATGACCTTAGTTTTCCCATCTCACATTTACCATCACCACAGGCCCTCTACGCTAAAAGTATTCTGCACCACTTAGAATTTCCCCCGAAGTGTCTTATCTCTTATCTGTGCACAAGCATGTGCCTGGGATGCCTGCTTCTGCCCTTTGCCCACACTATTTATAGACTAAGACTCAATCTAAGCACTGCCTTGTCCAGGAAGTGGACCCTTCCAGTCCAGTTAGGTGACCCTCCTTGATACTCCAAAATCAGCCTGTGCACATCACAGGAAAATACCATCTGTTTGTTTTTCTGCCTCTGCCACTGAAATGAGAGCTCCTTGAAGATTATTCCTCTATGTATTCATAGGGCCTAGAACAATGCTTAGCACATAGTATCAATTATTTGTTGAATAAATGAGTAAACATATAAATACATAAAATGATAAATAATTTTAGTAAAAGCTAGCCATTTAGGGCTTATAATCAGGAAGGAGACATGATTCATTCATTAAATAAATTAGTGAGGGTGACTATATGCCAGGCACCAGGGATAGAGTGACAAATGAAACAGAAAAGATTGGGGCTCACAGCATTTTCAGGGCTTACATTTTAGTGGCAGGAATAAAGGGGCTGACCAACAAGTAAAGAAATAAAGGAACAACGTTATATGATAGAGACTAAATGGAGGTGGGTGCTAATTTAGACTGAGTGGTCAGAGAAAGCCTCACCAAGGAGAAGGGTGAGCTGAGACCTAAAAGGCAACAAGGAGTGTGTCCCACTAAGCTCTAGAATCAGAGCAATCCAGGGAGAGGTGAAGTGCGAAGACAGTGCCTGTGGCATATTTGTAGCACAGAAAAAAGGCCTGTGTGGATGAAGGTGGTAAACTGGTGTGAGAATTGTAGATAAGAATGGCAAGGTAGGGAGGAACTAAATCATATAGTCCTGTAGGCTCTGGTATTGAGTTTGGACTTTATTCCAAGTGGGATGGGGAACCACAGAAGGATTTGAAGCAGAAGAATGACTGACATATGATTTACATTCTCAAAACATATGTTCCTCTGGGAAATTATAAAGAACAGTAGAAGCCAGTTAGAAACCAGTTAGATCACCAGTTAGAAATCTGACTTAATTCAGGCAAGAGATAGAGGTGGTTTCATCTAATGTGGCCATGGTAAAGACCAAAATAAATGGACAGATTTGTAATATATTCTGGACATTATCAGATCAACATTTTGGAAGCAAATTCTGGTAGCTGTGTGGAGAACAAATTGAAGGGAGTATAGAAATGAAGGCAGAAAGCCAGTTAGGAGGTTGATGTAATAATCTGTTTTACATTCAGAGGTGACTAAGAGGGCTGCTGTGTGAGAACAGATTGAAAACATAAGGATGTTTTCCTCCAGGAAGATGAAGGATCTTTAATCTTTGAAGCAATCCAATGAGAAAACTGGGGCAGAGATAAATCAAGTAATGTGCCCAGAGTACACCAACAAGCCAAGACCTGGACTCTATAGCCCATGCTATTTTCATGTATCATCTCACTCCTTCCTTAAGAGGAAAGGCTGGACACCAAAGTAAACTTCAGAAAACAAAACATTATGGCATGAAAACAGAGAAAAGGCCTTGGGGAGCCTATCCAAGGGAGGATTAGATGATAGTCATGAAGGCCACAGCCCCTGTGAGATGAGTATCAGGATTAGACTCACAGGCAAGCTTGATTCAGTGACTCTATGGGGCTGTTTCTTAGGGACACCACCTGGGAGAAGTGTGAAGAGGAGAAAAATCCAGGATTACAGCCCTCCCAGTTCTCCCGATGCCAGTTCAAGTCACGAAATGACAGTGTTATTCACATCCTTGTGGAAATGACCACAGCCCAGGGTGTTCACAGCTACCTGGGCTCTCCTTTCTGGATCCACCAGGCAGGTAAGAACTCTCTTCCCTTCTCCACCCACATAGTTCCCACCCCTACCGCATCTGACCCCATGCCCAGGACCACCAACTCTGACACTGTGACCCAGGGCCCTGGTCAGATGTCTCATGCACAGAAGGGCTTAGGCCAGCCCCTGTGGATGTCCCTGCAGTGGTCATCCCCACTCCAAACTTACATTGGAGGGAGGTCTCCAGTGGGCAGCTGGAATTGGAATGGCAGCACTCATCATCCTGGGCAGCCCAGGAGACCTGCTATCAGCTGCGATACACAGGAGAAGGCCATCAGGACTGGAAGGTATGGCCAAGGAACAAATGCCCATACACCTCACTACACAGGGGATGGCTGAGTTTCACCATGTCTGTTATCAGGAGCGTGGGTGTCCATATCTCTATGTCTGGGCTTGTATATCTATGTTTATTCAATTCAACCGGTATCTTAATCTCTCTTTGGCATCTGACACTGCTGACTTCTCCTATTTACAAATCTTTCTTCCCTTTGCCTTTCGGATATCAATCTCTCCTGATTCTCCTATGTCTTTCTGAATGAACCTTCTCACTCTCCTTTCCTGGTTCCTCCTTTTTCACTCTTTCTTAATACATTGTGCTTCCTACAGTCCCATCGTAGGATTTTTTCTCCTGTAGATAAATAGATGTTCTCCCTAAGTGAGTACTTCACCTCCATGGTTTTAATCACAATACATTAACCATCCCAAACTTACCTTTGCAACACCCATATGGAAAGAAACTTCTATACCACAGGCAAATTTCCTGAACTTTTGAAGTCTCAGTTCCCTCATTGGTGAGATGGGGGAAAGCCATCTGCCTTCCAGAGTTACAGTAAAAATCAAATAAAATATATAAATATCTAGCATACTGCCTGGCAGACAGAAGGTATTAAATATATATTTTGTTAAATATTAGTTTCTTTTCTACTTTTATTTTCATTTACTACATGTGTACACAACTTCTTACCATATAGCCCTGGGGCATTTCATACTCAACATATCCAAAACTAAATTCATCTTCCTCCCCAAAATTGTTTTACTTTTGTATCGAGGTATAAGACATATAAAGTACACAAATCTTAAATATAAAATGGGTTGATCTGTACATGTGTAATACACCATGGACCTAATACCCAGATCAAGATACAGATTTCTAGTACCCAGAAAGTGCCTCATATGCCCTACAGTAACACACACACACACTCCAAAGTAACCACTACTCTGACATTACCATTGGTAACTGACTATTGCTGAACTTAACAAAATGGAATCATGAGGTATTTCTTCCTTAAATTTACTTCTCTGTTCCCTATATCTGACAATGGCACCACCACTTACCCAGTTACCCATCTGGAATCTTCCTTGACTCTTCTTAATTTTCCCTTTCCCTTCCCCCTATTTATCAACAATTGCATTGAGTTTACTGTGCTAACAGTCTTCAAATCCCTACAACCACTGCAGAGTCTCATTTTTGCCCATCCAGCCTGCATGTCCATGTTCACAGCACACTATACTTAACTAGTCTGTTAACTCCCAACCAAACAACAGAGGCAGCGTTACATGCTTCTTCGGCTCCCATGGTGCTTTACTTGTCATTGTTATCGCACTAATAACTTGTAATTATTTACTTGTTTGGATGCCTTCCTCATCAGACACGTGAGAGACGATGTTTCATTTATCTTTTTCCTGGTCCCTAGCTCAATGCTTGGCACAGCATAAGCAGTTTATAAATGTTTGCTGAATGAATAATCAAAGTCTCCCTGCTTGTACACACGATGTTTGTTCCTTCCGCTTGAATCTGTCCTTGTCCCCCCAGAACCTAGCACAGGTCTGACATCCTCTACTGAATGAGTGGTGTCTATGAACGCTATGTGGCCCTGAGTATCTGCGTGTGCTGGGATTTCCATTGCCGACCTCAAGTTCAATCGAACACTTCTGTCAGGATGTCCGTGTGTCTGGTCAGTTCGTGTGCACCGGGATCTGTGTCAGGGGTGTATCGTACGTATTCGTGTTGTGTCAGGCTGAGTAGTCTGCACAGATGAGGTCTGTGTCAGAGGGTGTGTCGGGGCGGGCGCATTGCTCAGGCGGGGCATGCCTCGGGCAGGGCGAGGCCGCCAGGGAGAGACTCTCGAAGGCCCGGGTGTTCATCTTCCACGTTTTCGCCGGGATGTCTGTTTTCTGTCAGTAAGGTTCTTCGAGGGGATCCCCGGAGGTTCAAAGCGGTAGGATTTGGGGCAAACACACGCCGGTCTCTCGAGGACTCGACGCCGGCCCCCGGAGCCTGACCACCCGCCCGCTTCTCCGCGCAGGTGTTGGAGCCACCTCTCGGGGCCCAGGGAGAGACCCTGGAGCTGCGCCCACGCTCTCGCTACCGTTTACAGCTGCGCGCCAGGCTCCACGGCCCCACCTACCAAGGACCCTGGAGCACCTGGTCTGACCCAGTCAGGGTGGAGACGGCCTCCGAGACGGGTGAGAGGACGGCCGGCAGAGGCGGTCTGCGGCTGCGCGAGGGGAGGGGCTCCGAGCACAGCGGTGTGCGGCTGCGCAGACGCACGCGGCGCCGCAGGACGGCAAGAGGCAGAGAGCTAGGGCGGGATCTGGCGGATCTGGCGGACTTGGCGGCGGGCTCCAGCCTGGGGAGGCCGCGGTCTGACTGTTTTTGTCCCACAGCCTGGATCTCCTTGGTGACCACTCTGCTCCTGGTGCTAGGCCTCAGCGCCCTCCTGGGCCTGCTGCTGCTGAGGTGGCAGTTTCCTGCGCACTACAGGTATCACCCCAGCCAGGTGGGGCCGGAGGTCTCTACAAACAAGCATCCCACTGTGACACTCGCTCACTATACAAGCGCACATCCACACTTGTGACCTCAAGCATTTTCCCGCATTACCCCTGAGAATCGAACGACCTCCTTACGCTCTAACAGGCCCACTATTCTGGATACCTAAAGCGGCACCATCTCCTTGCTCCCCATCTCAGAAGGCTACTGTCCACCTGTCACCCAAGCCAGAACACTTCGGTGCCCCGCTCCCCTATATCCAGTCTGGTCTGGTCGTTCCACCTCCTAAACCTCACTTAAACAATGGCTCCTTTTCCCCCTATAGACACTACCTGACTCACTGCAGTAGCCTCCTCTCTGTCCAGCCTAGCCTCACACAGCCACCGGAATAATCTTTCTAAAAATGCACATATGAACTTGTCACTCTCCTCCTTAAATCTCATTACTAGCTCCCCAGCATAGAGTCCAGACTCTAGAATGACAAGCAGAGCTCTGCAAATCTGGCCCCTGCAGGCATTTCCACTCTCTCCCACCCTGTGAATCAGCCCTGCCAAACTGTTGGTGATTTCCTACATTAATCAAGTGTTTTTACTTCTCAGTGCATTTGCACATAACGTTCCCTCTGCCAAGAACATCCTCCCTGGATGACTAATACCCATTTTTCTTTAAATAGCTTCCTTCACTAACTCCTGGGAAACCTTTCCTAACCCTCCACTGTTAGCTACTCCCTTTGTGCCCCAAAACATTTCTATTATAGTACCAATAGCCTTTTACTGATTTATTTCTTTGTATGTCTTCTCTATACTGTACTTGGTCATCTTTAAATCCTAAGTATAGTGCCTGCCAAATAGCACATCCTTAAATGAATGTTATTAGAAAATGATTTGTTTATGTGGGAAAACCAAGGCTGAGGAGAAATGTCATTAGAACTTATAAGCAAAAGATAGAATCCATACCACCTCAGTCCTTCAACTGGTAACATCTCTTTAATTCTTGAAGACTCCATTCAGAATGCAGCTCCTCCAGGCAGCCTCTTAGGCCCTAGGCTAGGTTAGATGCTCCTCTTCTGTGCTCCCATCTCTCCTTGAACATGTCTTTCTTTGAACTTTCAACCCACTCATATGTATGAGCAGACTGGTATGTATCTTCTGTTAAGTATCCAGATCCAACAAAAAAGTTGGGAGAGAAGAGAGAGATAGTGCTGCTGAACCAGACATACCCAGTTCCTTTTCTATAATTTACTCGGTAAGTCACTCCTCCTCCTTTGGAGAAATGTGAGTGAGGTCACAGAAGAGGCCTGAAATGTTGTTCAGCTGAGTTCCCTTCATGTGGAAATATGAGCCTAAACAACTGGAGATTCCCCCAACATACCTTAATCCACACTCTTCCCAGATAGACCACCTTCCCCAGTAACTTAATAAGCCCCACTGATTCATTCATTCATTCTATTAATTCCTTGAGCACCTGCTATGGTCCAGACACTGTTCTATGCCCTATACATACAGGAGTGAGCAAGTAGACTCTGGCTTTCATGGAGTTTACATTCTACTGGGGCAAGACAGACAGAAGGCAAGTATGTATAATAATATAACAAATACATAGAAAGCCAAGTGCTATAAAGGAATCTAAAGCAGAGCAGGAGATAGAGAGTGATGGGAAATGAAGGTGGTGCTATTTTAGACAGGTTAGTCAGACCCCTGTCAGGATGACCCTTGATCAGAGAACTAAATGAAGTGAGGGAACAAACTGAGTGTTCCAGGAAGAAAGAAGAGAAAGTGCAGAGGCCCTGAGGTTGGAATGTTTGAGGATACTCAAACTGTTTTTTTTAATATCCCCACCACTGACTTCCCTCCTCCATTTGAGGTTTTATTTCTACCTGTGCTCTTCTATCCTACTTTATTGCCTTGACCACACCTACCTCTCCAAGCCTTACCATCCCACCTCACTGCTTCCCCCCTGCTCCACCTAAGCGCTCACCGCCTCCCTCCCACTCACTCCCATGATTCAGTCTCCTTTTCATTCTCCCCAAGGAGCCTGAGGCATGCCCTGTGGCCTTCACTCCCAGACTTGCACCGGGTCCTAGGCCAGTACCTTACGGATGCCACAGCCCTGAGTCCGGTGAGTGCACTCCCCTCCCCACTACCCACCACCAAGCCTGACTGGAGCTGGATCCTTGTCTCATAACACAATTTTTCCAAGGTCATTGCCCACCAGCATAACATCCTAGGCCCCACCCCCAGCCACTCCCTTCTTCCTACACAACTCAGGTCCTCTTCCCCCAGACCTGCTCTAATCCAGACTCCCTTTCTCCCATCTCTCCCAGCCCAAGACTACAGTCTCAGATGCCTATGAAGAAGTAGAACCCAGCCTCCTTGAAATTCTACCTAAGTCCTCAGAGAAGACTCCTTTGCCCCTGTATTCCTCCCAGGCCCAGATGGACTACCGAGGACTGCCAACTTCTTGCCTGGGGACCATGCCCCTGTCTATGTGCCCATCCATGGCTGAGACAGGGTCTTACTGCACCACTCATATTGCCAACCATTCCTACTTGCCACTGAGCTGTTGGCAGGCCCCTTGCTCCCATTCCCCTGGACAGATCCAAACCCTCTAGACCTCTCCTGAAGCTCCCTGTGCAAACCCACCCACCCCCAACCAACATCAGCCCTCATAGTTGGGCTTCACAACATTGACCGCAGTACTGTTGCTGACATAAAGTCAGGACCCTCTCTTGTCAGACCAAAGCTCATTTGACTAAGTTTCTCTTACTTTCAACTTTCTCTGTCCTCTTGAAAGCCAAACTCCTCCAAAAGAAGTCACCACTTCCCACTTCCCACCAGCTTTTCAGACTATTGCAATTCATTCCACCACTACCGCTTTGCTAATGAAGCAGTCAGGAAAAGCTCACCTCAAACTTTCTAACTGCAAGATCCAGTAGGATCTTGTTAATCCTCAGTTTATTTGATTTCTTGGTGGCATTTGTCATGTGACTCCTCCTTTCGCCCTTACATTCTCTCCCACCTTGGCTTCCATACCACCACCACCTGTCCTGGCTCTGCCCCTGACTCAGAGTATACTCAGAACACAACTCTGGAATCAGAGCTAGGTTCAAGTCCTGCCTTACCCCCTTGCCAGCTGTGAGATGTTGAGTGAATAACTTAAAACCCTTTGAGCCTTAATTTTCTCATCTATAAAACAGGGGTAGCAACAGAACCCCATAGAGTTGTGAAGAGGTTTAAGGGAGGTAATCTAAGTAATCTATGCCTAGGACATAGTAAGCATTTCATATATCTGAACTATAATTATTCCTTCCTATTGTCTTACTCGGACGTGTTTCCACTCCTTAATTATTACAGTCCCTCAGGAGTCCATTTTAACACAGTCTCTACTCCCACCCATTCTTACTGCCTCTCCTATATCCAAAAGTTCTTCTCCCCAGCCTAGACTTCCACTACAGCACCTGTGATGCCTTATGCAGGTAACTGTTTACTTGTCTGTCTCCCACTACTAGATTGTGAGCTCCATGAGGGCAAGGGCCATCATTGTCTTTTCTCCCCAGCACCTAGAGTAGTGCGTGGTGCATGGTAGTGGGTCTTCAATAAGTGTTTTCTAAATGTTTCCCTCTTCCTCTAAGCTCTTCATATACAGTGGAGAATGTGATGAGGGCCATTCTGGTTATGGATTCCCCTCACCCATTCAAATTCCCAAAATAAATGGTATTTTTTTGCTGGTTTCAAACATGCCCACTGCATCAGTCAGGGTCTTGGCAGAAACAGATGGCACACTCAAAACTGACTATTTTGATGAGAGTTTAATAAAGAGTATATTTATAAAGATGAGGCAGAAGTCAGGAAAACCATCTAGGAATAGTGCAGTAGCACAGGACTAACAACAGTTGGGAGCTGATACCAACACGGCATCAAGGGGCAAGAGGAGAGTGCAATTACTAGATCTGGAGAGAGGAGTAACTGTAACAGAGGGGCTTCCTGGCAGGAACTGTGGCCTTCAGTAAAGAGACACAGCCAACCTGTGTGGACATGGCAGGGAGGAAGCCAGGGAAATAAATAGCTCATGGTCACTCTCCCCCCTACCTTCTAATTACATCTCTATTAGTTTGCTAGCACTTCCATAACAAAGTACCACAAACAGGGGGGCTTAAACAACATAACTATTGACAACAGATGTTAAATATTAAACAACAGAAATTTGTAGTTCTGGAGGCTAGAAGTTCAAGGTGTCAGCAGGATTGGCTCCTTCTGAGAGCTGTGAGGAAGAACCTGTTCCAGGCCTCTCCCTAACTTCCAGTGGTTTCCTGATGCTCACTGGTGTTTCTTGGCTTGCAGAAATATCACCCCCCATCACTGCCTTCATCTTCACATGGTATTCTCCATGTGTGTGTCCATGTCCAAAGGTCCCCATTTTATAAGGACACCAGTCATATTGGATTAAGACCCACCCAAATGACCTCATCTTAACTCATTACATCTGCAATGACCCTGTTTCCAAATAAGGTCACACTCTGAACTACTGGGGCTTAGGAATTCAACATATGAGTTTCAGGGGGACACATTTTAAGCCATAACATCTCTCCATAGGTGGAACCCAAACAGTTATGAGAGCCCAAGGGAATCCATTGATCCATAGACCATATGAATCAGCCTCGCAGGGCACAGGACAGGGTAGGAGATGAAGAGTGGGTCTGGACAGGACAAATAGACGTCTGATATACTCATTTTCCATAATTCCTTCCTCCAATTATATTCAAGGCTCCAACTCTATTCCTGGGGACTCAAGACTACGATTGAGATCCAAACCACTGAACTTTTCATTTTTAAACCTACTCAGCCATCATGTCCTGACCACTTTTACTTCCTAAATTCCGTCTCCTATTCTCCATCTCCACTGAACTCGTACTGCAGTCTCTAATATTTCTGCATCCAGTCTCGCCCATTAAATCCAACCTCCAGATTGATCTTTCTATTCATCTCATTCCTTACCTGTAAATCTTTAGCTTGACTCTTCAGAACCTGATCTATTTCTCTTCAATTATTTCCCTACACGAGGATTAAAAGTGTTAACACAATGCCAAGCATAGAGTAAATACTCTGTGTTTATTGAGCTCGTTTTATTATTTTCCCAGCTGGACTGTTCCACCCCCTGAATAGCACCTATATTTTATTCTTTCCATGCCTTCTGCTTTCCTAGATTCAGGTCTTTTAGGAGGGCATTTCCCCATCTAAACAGCTGCTCAGCCTCTAATTAACCATCTTTAAAGCCTTATTCTCTATCCCTCTGGCCTAAGGGGAAGTGATCTTTCTTTCCTAGACTGGAAAGGCTCCTTGTGTTTTCTGTTCCATTTCTTCCTGGGGAAGGTACCCAAGCACCTTGTTCTATCAGCTGACCCTTGCCTGGCCTCTTTCATCTCCCCTGGCTCTTTTACTTCACCTTCAAGTGTGCATGCGCCACTCGGGCACTGGTCCCCTCAAGCTCCCTTGGACCACCCCTTTCTCACTCCCAAATCTCTCACACAAGGAGCCAGTACTTACTGGCTCCACATTCTCTCTACCCTTCTTTCTGCAACTCCTTCCGAATGGAACCCGAGCACCCACTCTCCTGACCCAGCTTTCTCCGAGGTCACCAGTGATTTGTTTCTCAATGGCCAAATCTGGCCTTTTCTTTCATGACTCTGCTTGACCATTTCACATCATGTTAGAATTTCTCACACTTTAAGGTCCATTTCTGTATAATCTCATTGGCTTCTTTCATTCCTGAAGGTGCTCCATCCCTGAAGTTGTTCTCTCATTTACCTCAGCCTTCTTTTTCTCTGCAGTTACCCTTACTGCAGAAACTGCAAACTGGTGGCCATGTCCTGCCCTCAGATATGTTTTGTTTGGCCCTTCCTTACACAGAAACTCACTGATTCCACCATGCTTAGCAGATAAAAGTCCAAACTCTTTAGCATAACATTTAAAGCCCTGACCAACCTGACTCTAGACTACCTTTTCTATGTTCTCTGGGGTTCAAGGGCTCCCTATTTCCAATCCCAGTACATCCAACCCCTTGTTTTCCAGGGTAATTGACTACCTTTTCTATGTTCTCTGGGGTTCAAGGGCTCCCTATTTCCAATCCCAGTACATCCAACCCCTTGTTTTCCAGGGTAATTGGAAATAGAGAACAGAAAGCTTCAAAATTGAAGATAACAATATTAAGTTTGGGCTAAGAACCCCAGATTTTTCTCTGTCATCATCAGTGTTGATCTTAGGCTAATGATTGAAAATGTGTGATTTTTTTTTTTTCAGCCTCTCTCTGGAACAGTACAGCATATGCTTAGGATGCAGGGGTCAGTCAGATAGTTTGGCTCCACTACTTATTGTTGGTGGCATGCCTTTGGGCAAGTTTCTAACCTTTTTCTGACCCAGTTTCTTTTTTTATAAAAAAGGCATAGAGTGTCTGCCTTATAGGATTAAGGATTAGACTCAATAATATATGTAAACTGCTAAACACAGTAGTTAGCAGATGGTCAATAAATGGTACCCATTATTATTTTATTATGGCTGCTTCATCTCTAAGCATATTCAAACATTTCATTCAAGTCATTATTAGAGCCCAGGATTGAATGAAATCCAGATCTGGATTCCCACCAATTTGTGTGACCTCAGGCAAATCCCTTTCCTAGACCTCTGTTTCTTTATGTGTAAAATATGGGTATGTTGCTTGGGATGGGAAGAGTGCACCATGCAGAGACTCAACTAGTGGATCTCTAAAATTCCTGACACCTCTAAAGTCCCGCGAACTTTAAGCCAGTGTCTCCTGCAGGACAGTGCAATGTTATCTTTCAGATAGGCAGGTTTGAATTCTGATCCTTTTTTTGACTGTAAGGAATTCACCCCTCTTTCAACCTCATTTTCCCTGTTTGCAACCTAGCAAATACAACCACTTTAAAAAACGCATGGGTTACTTCCTTCCTAGCAGTGTTGCTACAGGCGTCAAGCTAACAGCGAGTGCACCCTAACTTGCAGCTCTGGACTTTCTGCTCCTAAACTTCTCAACTCCTTTCCCTCCGCACCACCCGCTCGCTGTCTTTCCCGTCTCTAAACGGCTCAAGGGCTTTATGCCACTCCGCCGAGCTCTGCACTTATCATAAACAGGAGCCACACGCGAGCTTTAAGCGTCACGGGCGGGTGAGGGGAAGCTGAGGAATGAATGGAAGCGACTCGGGAATGCAGAGACCGCGCAGGTCCCGCCCCCAGACGCGCCCCGCCCCTCTCGCTTTCCGACGCGGGTTCTCTGTACCCGGCCTTAAACCTTTCACATTCTTTAATTCACGCTCCACTACTGGACTCTCGAGAGATGTGTGACTTTCCCCGGAAGGCCCGCCCCCTGTGTCGTAGAAGCCAATGGGTGAGGGCGACGGTTGAGACGGTTGGGTTTTGAAGGAGCCAATGAGTGCTCAGAGCGGAGAGTTTAAGACGCAAAGCCACTGCAAAGGTCTGTCGGGGTTCGGAGCCTGCTCGGATCTGACGGTGAGGGATGGCTGTTCTGGGCCGAGCTGGGCCGTGGCTGGGGATTGCAGGCCGGGAGGGCCTGTGACCGGGGTGGTTCTGACTGGGGCCGGCCGTCCTACAGCACTGTCGCCTCTTCCTCCAGGCCTCGGCCGGCACCCATTCCAGGGACTCCTCCTCCTCCAGACGCTCCCATGGCGCAGTTCGTGTTCGAGAGTGACCTGCACTCGCTGCTGCAGCTGGACGCACCCATCCCCAATGCACCCCCAGCGCGCTGGCAGCGCAAAGCTAAGGAAGGCACGGGGCCGGTCCCCTCGCCCATGCGGGCCGCCAACCGATCCCACAGCGCCGGCAGGACCCCGGGCCGAACTCCCGGTAAGTGGGGTGCGGTGGGAGACGCGGAGGGGGAGGGAACGGCTGGGAGCAGCCGTCATGCCTACCCCCGGAGCCTGTCAGACTGTCTGGCTTCCCTCTCCCTGACCCAGGCAAATCCAGCTCCAAGGTTCAGACTACTCCCAGCAAACCTGGTGGTGACCGTTATATCCCCCATCGCAGTGCTTCCCAAATGGAGGTGGCCAGCTTCCTCCTGAGTAAGGAAAACCAACCTGAAAACAGCCAGACGCCCACCAAGAAGGTTTGTGTCCCAGAGGAGCGTAAGGCAGGAGACCCATGTATGTACTTTGGATAATGCCGTCCTGCCTCACCACCGTCCTTATGTGCCAGGAACATCAGAAAGCTTGGGCTTTGAACCTGAACGGTTTTGATGTGGAGGAAGCCAAGATCCTTCGGCTCAGTGGAAAACCACAGAATGCCCCAGAAGGTAAGACCTTAAGTTCTTGGTTCATGGAGGGAGGTGACAGCTCATCTCCAGGACTGAAGGGAGACACTGGTCTGCAATTCCCATCTAAGACTGAGGGGGGTGGGGGGCAGGAGGCCCCAATCTGCCCTTCCAGGCTGGGGGCAGGGGAAGGTGTCAGTTATCCCAGTGTCCAGACCCACTCTGTTGCCACAGGTTACCAGAACAGATTGAAAGTACTCTATAGCCAGAAAGCCACGCCTGGCTCCAGCCGGAAGACCTGCCGTTACATTCCTTCCCTGCCAGACCGTATCCTGGATGCCCCTGAAATCCGGAATGACTACTGTAAGCCTTGCCTGGTGGAGAGAGAAGACAGGCCTGGAGACCAGCAAACATGAAGAAACTTATGTTCTTCTCTGTCTCCTCTGGCAGACCTGAAC